GTGTGTGTGTGTGTGTGTGTGTGTGTGTGTGTGTGTGTGTGTGTGTGTGTGTGTGTGTGTGTGTGTGTGTGATGTAGGCTAGGATTGATGTGTTGGTACCTGAACACACACGCACACACAGACATGTTTGTCTTAATATACCTAAGAGGACCTCAACACTGAACCCTGAAACCAAGTCAAACCCTGAAGCAGACGTAAATGTCCTCAAAGGGTTGGAACATCCACAGGTCCTCACAATGATAGCAAAACAAGGACACACACACACACAGATCTACCTCTCTCCATTTAGTCCTTTCCTAGAGTTCCTGTATTTCCCAGAATGCATGGCTTTTGCATCCAGCTGCCCTTTATTTACCACGCAGGTAGAGACGGTAAGAGCAGAGTGGGACTGATGGATGCCTTCATGGTCAGTGGGAAAAAACGCCCTCACACGTATTAAGCATCAAACAGTTTATTTGTGCAGCCTTGTCTAAACATGTTTCTTATATTTTGTGGGTGAAGATGAATATTTGTGTTATTATTGTAATTTGTTATTATAGGTTTGTAGAATATAGTATAATAATATATTATTATTTGTTGTTTGTTTTTATAGAGCCTGTGTGGTGGAAAACCTCTATACAAAAGAAAAAAATATATACTAATCTCAGTCCCAATTTTATTATTTTCTCATAAGGCTTACTTTAATTTGTACTGAGGCAGCGTATACTGTAAGTATATATCACAGATATATTATTTATAGTGACTGTGAAAGGACATATTGACAGTGCTCACCAGACAAAGAAAGGCTGTCCAGTGTGGTTGGAGTGGTAGAGAGGACAAAAGGGACACATTTACAAAAATTGCTGATCAAAAGCAAATTTAAAACAAAGTCAAAACAAGCAAAAACCAACGTTAGACCTATGCTTACTGGGCAGCTGGGTAGCAAACAACCATAGCACAACCAAGAACATCTAGAACCATCAATTAACCCGTGTTGAGAATTTCATGCAAAAATAATACGACTCAGTTTCCCAACACAAACAGTTTTTCAAAACAACACGTTTCTCAACTCAGCTTTTATTCCTGTTAATAAACTGAAAAAAATAACTATAAAACAGAAGGTCTGTTTATCTATGAGCCCCCTGAGGTCTAAGTCATTATATGCGCCAACTCTAACACTAGTCCTATTATGCACTTCAAGACAGCAGCACCAGCTATTGCTATCAAGTGATGCTTTGCAATATCAAACTAAAACAAATACCTGAATCCCAAATATCTACTGATATGATCTGAAATACAACACTAAATATGAATCTGAATGTTGTTGTTTTTGTTTGTATTATTGTACATAGTTTAACAGAGTCATTATCTAATTATAAAATATCTGAAAAGCTCATTAAATGCCAGCTTAGTAACATGGTAAAGGAAACCTGGAAAGTGTTCCTGATATGAAATGTGCACTGAAGAAAGGAGAATTATGGTCCTCATCAGAGTTAAAGAGGATGTTAGGTGTAAGACGGGTCTATTTTATGATGGACAGATAATTTCTGTACGAGTCCTTTGATTTCATTAACAGGTGATGTCATCCTGGTTGCAATACTGTAAAGAAGCATTTCTGCTGCACACATTTTAAAGCAGAATCGTGGTTTACTTCGTATTATTACACTTTGCTTTTGTTTTTATTTTGCAAGAGTTCAGAAAAGTCCTGTTAAGCATTTTCGCTGTAGAGACCTTTGATTCCTATAGCAGATCTGCGTAGTTACTAGAAAAACTTCTCACCGATGCATTTGGTCATATTCTGCTCTGAGCTGCATCAACGTATGATGACAAGTTTTTATGTTTTAGGAAAATAAAAGGACTCAATTGAAGAGCTGGTGAAGCTGCTTCACCCGCAGGACAACAAGAACCATCCAATTATCCTCGAATTATCCCGAGTCAGCTTGCATCATCGAGAGGACAGTGAGTGTGTGTTCAGGTACTTGTGTCTTTGTGGGGACCAATCCGATTTTACTTATATTTGTGAGGACGCTGTAGCCAGTCCTTACTTTTAGGCAGATGTTAAAAGGTTGAGTGTTCAGACCTGGTTTTATAGTAAAGACCTCACATAGTACAAAACATTTTTTTAAAGTTAAATGGATCTTTTGGCAAAGGATGATGTGGATTTATTGAAATTCTGGACATTTTTTACATACATTTTCTAAAGTAAATTCATAGAGAAGATGAGAATCGTTCTTAAAAAACTGAACGAGTTTCAGGTTGGCATTATTTTAATGATGGTCTTCGCAAGCATGTGTGAGTGTGTGTGGTGTAGTGGTACATTCCATGGCTCGCACAGAACTCTCCATCCGCCTTGTTAACTTTCTACTTTTCACTGCCCATTCTCAGTGTGTGTGTGTGTGTTAGTGTGTGTCACGCTACCCTCCAGCCTGGTCCAGCTGGAAGGTCATCAGTTCAGTTAGTGAATGTTGGAGCAGTTTTTTCTTCTTCACTGCTCACAAACACAGTTCTGCAGCAGCAGCCATGCTCAGTTCTCTAGTCAGTCCAGTGAATATTATAATGTTTATTATCTGATAAATCATCCAAGTGCTCAGATCTCCTCCTACAAAACCCAAGCTTAACTGTGTTAATTGTGAAAGTAGATTCATTCTTGTTTAATTTCCTTAGAAATTATGCTAAAATGTTTCAAAATAAGCAACATCAACAAAGCTGAGATAAGAGCTATTTATCTTAAATAAAATAAAAGTTATAGAAGAGATATTTTGTTCAGTTTTTACAAATGCTCCTGTGTACTCCTGTTAGCAACATTAAAGCAAAGACTTCACTTAGTTATTTTAAAACACACTGCTGTTGAGATTAAAAAAATAATAATAATGAATTTAGTTAATTTCATGCATTTGATTTACCATGACCATAGTAACCTTTACTCTGTTAGTCTTTCTGGGCTTTTTGTTCTATAATATATACACTATACTTTCTACTATATGAATGAGGAATGGAAAAACATGACAGCAAGTCTGAGCGCTATTGTTGTGATTAAATTGCAGAGCTTGAAAAGCTTTTTGGATCCTTTTTGATGGAACTGATTTCAGGGCGTTACAGACTTTTAAGGACTTACAGATTTGTTGCGAATAACTTTTTTTAAATAAAGCCCTGAGGGTGAGATATTAAAACATGGATTTCTCAGCCTTCAGATGAAAAAAAAAAAAGAGTGACACCTGAGAAATCAGACAAGGGTGGATGTGAAAAGATAGCACCCTTCAGGTCAACATCAAGGAGCCATCAGTAACAAATCAGCTGAACTAAAACAACTGAAAGACTCCTGTCAGTGTCTCAGAGTCCAGCTGGATCAGGATGGACCAGCCTACTCACCTTAAAGGTTACTTGGGGGTTTAAGTCGTGTTAAAATTAACTTTCTTTCATGCGCTCAGAACAAAAGGAGGGATTAACTCTACTGCCACAGCAACAGATGAAGTTATATGGGA